TTCAGAAAAAGTGTCGTCTTTACATGTAATAGACGACGGTTCTTTTAAAAACCGTCGTTTTTACATATAATAGACGACGGTGAATTACCGTCGTAGTTTGACTTTCAAAAAGATGACTGTCGATTTAACGACGGTTTGAAAAAGAAAAAGACGACGGCGTTTCCCCGTCGTCTATTTCAATTTTTGTAGTAGTGTGTTTTTCTTTTTTTTCTATTTCTTTTTTGGACAAAATTTTCTTAATCTTCTCTGAGTAGGATAAAACTAAAATTAAAAATTAAGGTGCAGAGATAGTTCTTGTCACCTTCCTGCAGCTGCTTCAGGAATTAATGCTCATCCTTGATCCATGACTTCCATAAGTCAATTGCACTCAACTGTACGAATTATTAAATTTTATCAATTTTTTTTAGAAGAAAAAAATAGAATGGAAAGGAATGCTATAATAGAGAGAATTCAAATAATATTGGGAATGTCAACTTTATTGACTGCACATAAGTAGAACACAAGTCGAAATATCAAGAACATACACAAGAGCTCTTCTCCTCAATCCAGTCCCTTATACACTCATTCTAGATGGGGAATTCTTTTGTGTGGATTGGCTTGATTTGTTGAGCAAGGGCAGTGTTTTATATGCATCTGCCTAGGAGTCTCTCCCATCAAGAAAAACTCTCAAGCAGTCCTTATTGCATTAGGAAATAAAACCCTAGTCCATATTAATTAGGAATCCCTTTGGCCCATGTATTTGACTTAAACACATATACAAAGGCTACGGGCCGAGTAGTAATTGAGTCCTTGATCAATATTGAGCCCAAGACAACCCTATGATGATTAAAAGACAATTTAAGTAGGTAATTAGAATAATCCAAAATCTTACATTCTCTCACTTGGTCAAATAATCATCAAGGCTTCAAAGTTGATCACTGTATGGCCATGTAGAACTCAACATCACTCTATTCCTAAATCAAGCCACTGTCAAAAATGTAAACTTACATGGAAACTGTCGAATCACATTGAATTTATAACATCCAAGGTTCTTACAACACATATAAGCGTGCAAAATCACATAAGGCTTCCACAAGACTAGGACGCAGAATGATCATGAGAAAACTTAATTTGTGTTTACAAAGGTCACTTTCATTCATAAGCCCTTCTTTAAGAGATTACCAAGATCTCTCTTTAATGACACTGGCATGAATTCATGTCTTATGTAGTGACTGTAGCTAGCTATACTGCATGATGACATGTAACTGGATTCATTTGTCAAAGAATAGTAAAGATAAAACTGAAGTCACGTAATCTAATAAAAGAACTAAACCAAATAGCAATACACAAAATAATTGAGCTGTCTCCAAGAAAACTAATGAATTTAAGTGGAATAAAAACTTAGCTCCCACTAATTCTACATATCAAAACTTAACGACATAACCATAATTGTAACAAGTATGACCTTATTCAGTGAATCAATGAACCAATGCAACATTCTTTCTTTTACCTTCTCCTTTACAAGCATGAAACAAAAATCAAATGCTTATTAGCAATCACAAAATTCAATTGAAAGGTAAAAGTTATTGATTAACCACTGTCGATTTGACAAAACTAAATGAAATAATAAGAACAGATAACATACTCAAAACAATCTTTGTTCTTATTAGCCTTAAAATTCTTAATGCAAAACTAGATTGTGAAGTGATTAATCAGAACCATCCAAAATACTGAATACATCCACAAAGAATATCATTAAATGCTCCCACTCATCAAGCATGTATTTTGCATGTTACAAAATGGATCAATACTATTTAAAATGAATTAATACATCATAAACTTTACTACAAAATCCTTATAGTTAGAACTCAACTTTAATTCATTCAATTCTTTCTCAAACAACACTTTACATGTAAGTTGCACGTAGATGAGAAAAAACAAAAAATGTAATGGAAGCATTCAACTTTATTCCACTTGTATTTTAAACACCAATTCAATTTCCTTTAACCAATACAAGTAGAAAACAGTAAGTATGGTGAGAACTTTAGTAGCCAAGAAAATAAACAGCTAGTCATCCAAAATATTGGTCAGAAAAATATAGTTGCACAAGGAAAAAGAAGAAGAGCACAAAACCAACAATGTGTTAATCCCATACATAGTACTTGATGGTGTAGAACTTCATTTTGCCATTTAACAAGAAATAAATTCCACATACGCTCAAAACTTCATGATTTTATATAATTATAAAACCAAGATAATGAGTGTGAACCCCAAAACCTTACATCAATTCTCCCACTTGGGCAAACACTCACTACTTTACTATGCACCAAAAAACAGCTTTGTCTTATGAGTTGTACGATTTCACAATCGCTGATATATTCGTGCAACTGGTGTGGAAAGGAGTTGATATTGAATTTGGGAGAAGTCTTAAGCATTTGAGGAGCATTGATATTTCAATGGAGTAAAATACTTATATTAATTGTTCTTAAATAGGAAAATATTATGTTGTTGATTCTGATTATGCAAATATGCGTGGGTTTCTAGCACCATATCGTGGAGAGCGTTATCACTTGCGTGATTATAGAGGGAGAGGGAGACATCCAAGGGGGGCAATGGAATTGTTCAACTATAGGCATTCATCACTACGTAACGTTATTGAAAGATGCTTCGGAGTGCTTAAAGCTCGCTTTCCTATTTTGAAGTTAATGCCAAATTATTCAATCAGGAAACAAAGACATATTCCTGTTGCTTGTTGTACCGTGCATAACTTCATTAGAATGCAATCAAGAAATGACATCATATTTCATCAATATCAAGCCAATGATCTTCAAGTGGTAGATGAAGAAAGCTCTGAAGTGAATCAAGAACACATCCATTTGCATGAGGACAATGCTAATGAAATGAGTGATGCTAGAGATCACATTGCCGGAGCAATGTGGATGGATTATGTTCAAAATCATTAGTCTTATAATTTATTTAGTCTAGAATGTTTTAATTTAATATGTATTATTTAAGACTTGAAGACCAATTAAGCTTGTTGATCATACATGTATGGTATTAAAATAGTATGTTTAATATAATTTTGATAATGTTTATCAAAATATCTTAATTATAAAAAATGAAGGAAAAAAAATTGTTTTCAAGAATCCAACCAAACAAGTTTTCAAATTTTAAAGATTCAAAAACTGTTTTCAAGTTGCATACCAAACAACTTTTTGAATCTTAAAAAATGGATTTGAGAACTCCTTGTTTTTAAGAAAAATCAAAGTTTTTGAGTTCCCTATTTGGATAGGATACCAAACGCCCCCTTAGTTTTTTCAAGCCCACAAGTAGAGTTGAACCAAGCCTGTGGCTTCTTTAACTGTAACCCCACCACTAAAGCAATACACTCTAGTTTATCTGCACATTTTCTAGTTGTGGGAATTTTGTTTCTCCTGAAATGACTCAAATGTAGCAGCAAAGGTTCTTTGCTTTAATCTAACGGAAATGGTATTTGCTCTGTAATCAAATTTTTATAGCTGTCAGACGAAAAATCTTCATCTGTACCTAACTTATGGCAGTTACATTACATGAGTAGAACATACCCTTGAAGTTCCAAAAGCAGAGATTGCAGTTTGAAAGTAGGAAACAAGAAAAAGATATATAACACAACATGAAATATCAGCAGTCCCAGTTCAAATCCACGGTCAATTTAAATAGACAACCTAACTAAAATTCTCACACATTCCTCATGAAATATCATAAGGAAATTTGGATTGCTGCATTGTAGTTTGTGCTTCTGCATTGCAATTGCAGTTTCCATTTTAGTACTTTCACCATGGTTTTGCATTTTGGTTCCTCACTTATTAATATGTTTATTTTTCCCCCATACTTTGCAGTGCAGTTTTTTTTTTCCAATAAAATTAGTTTTTGTTTTTGTTTGCAGTTTTTGTTTTTGTTTACATCACTGATATCTACATTGTTTTTGTTTTAAAATCTCACTTAAATATGAGAACTTTTTGTTTTTCTAGAAACTGGAGTGCATTTTTCAATCTTCTTCTTCTATTGCAGTATTCATGTTTTGATGTGAAGCTTAGTTTTTCTACTGTTGAGGTATGTATATTATTGATCAAATTGTTATTTCAATTTTCTAGTTATTTTCGGTTTTTATAAGTTGATTTTTCAACTCTTTGATATACAATTAAAAAGCATTCTCCACTCACCAATGATAGATAAGTGGTGATGAAGAAAGCCCCTTTCAGCTTGAATTATTCCTCCTCAATGCCAAAATCTGATAAAAATCAATAGCCAGATATTTGATTAATTTTGGTTCTTTGTCAATCAATCTCCTTAAATGCCTCTTAACCGTCCCTTTTGAGAATTGTGATTGGGATGAGCACAAAACCATTGAACCCAAGTAGAACTGCGTTCTTTTTGAGAATTGAGATTGGAATGAGCAGAAAACCATTGAACTCAATCAGAATTGCATTTTACCGTTGGTTCCTAATCCTCATGGTTACTATGTCACGTGGACATCAAATAGCACTTGTCCAGCCTGTTTTTGGATGAATCAACGGTGAATGTTGACTGTCAAAAAGCTAGAATGATAACCCACAACTTCTTGATGAGTGAAGAGAATGTATAAAAAATAACCATTTGCATGTGCATTCTGTCTCCTTCGTCTTCTCTTATGTGTAGTAATTCACGTGCTTTCCTTTAAACCACCATCTTTCTTTCATTTTAATATTCTTTCTCACAAAGAATATAAAATAATTTCCATGCACACCATGGTATCTTTCTCTTACACTAATTTTTCCTGTTAGAATTGATCTCCAACCTCAGTATAAATGTTAGGCCAAACTATATATTTCATGATTTGGCCTCTAAACCATATATTTTGACTAGAATAAAGAATTGGCCATAAAATGCAAATTTTGGTACAAACAATTATCGAGGAAATTTTCAATAAATTAATGATAAATGGATAGAAACATGCTAAAATATTGTTGTCCCAAAAATACGATGATTTCACCGATATTTTGTTCCATTACCACCACCATAGGCTTTTGACCCTCTTCGCAATATCGAAAAATCCTGCTTGCTCGCAATTGTCAGCATTAATTGTATTCTTATAAAATATATTGATGTCCTGCTTTCTTTTTCTTTTTCTGGTCACCATGTCCTGCTTTCTTCTATCTCGATCATTTTGGGAACTCACCCGGATATCCCCTCCCCCATTTGAAGGAACAGGGGGTACCTTGCTTACCATATATTGATGAATCTGTGAAATTAATATTATCCTTTAGCAAGTTTTCATGATGAGATGTCAGTCGATGTTGGTTGCAAAGAAACCTTGTGTAAGTATTGTACCTCATCAATTAACTTCTGACGTTCAGCAGTGCCATATATTGGGGCTGCTTCACGAGATTTGATGGCCAAGGCACGCCTTTTTTTCTTATCGTATTCTACTGAACCCAATGCACCATCTGGGTAGGTAGGCAATAACTCAATAAGTTTAAGTAAAGCTCTGCGCACTGCCGACAACAACAATACATTAGCAAGATGGTACGCATTGAAGACAACTTATAATAGTGAGGCTAAAACCAAATCCATTAGCAAAAGCATTTTGGTTTACTGAGTGTAGAAGAATAGCTTGTGTTTTGGTGGGATTATGTGTGTCTTCTTCTTTAGCAGGTGAGTGAGTGTTTTAAGAGATGTATTCTAACATTATATAATAGCATGCATAATGGCTTAGAAAGAATGGAATGTACCGCCGAAATTCCCCCTAGCCCTAGAAAAAATATCGAGCGAACTGATTTCAGTTTGGGCTTTGAAGCGACCATTTTCCTGCAAGTAGAGTATACAATCATGACTGTGCTGTGATAATTTAAAAAAGAAAAAGAAACTAACCCAAGTAGCAAAAGAGCCCACATAAACCTCAAAAAGCAACAACATATGATATTACCGTCAACAACGTGAATATAGGAAGCTTGTCTGGGTATTCCTCCGAAAACTGGATCCGGCCATGATAAATCCCGCCCTCGAATTCAGTTCCATTAGGGCCTCTGATTGCAAATTGCCAATCATACGGGTTCGACTGAAAATAAATATCAATGATGTGACCAACTAGCATTTCGGCCGAACAACAAGCCCAATTTCAATAGCCGAAAGGCCAAAAAAACAACAATTGAGGTCGAACCCAATACCCAAAATTCAAATAGAATTCAGAATCACCAATCCAAATTCTTAACTTATCCTTCAAAGTGAAATTAAACCAAAGTCAAAGAACAATAATATTTATTAAAAAACAGACGAAACGGGTATTGGAAAAGTAAACGTAACCTTGAGCGCCAGGCACTTGAAATCGTCGGAGGGATTGGATTGCATCTCCTCCAACTCCCGTTTAATCCAAAATGCCCGTGATTCGTTCCTGTTCATGTACGATTCTATTTTATTTTGTTCGATCTGCGCCGATCCGACCCTATCCACAACCATTTTTTCCGGTAACAAAACTTTAAAACACGAAGCGGAGAGAGGAAAGAGAGGCGGCGGTGTTTATAGGTGTGTGAGAGAGAGAGAAAGCATTCGTTGATTTTTGTTGGTTCTTCCACGTTATGTCTTTTTGCAGCAGCTATTAATACCCAAAATCTTACCTGCACATCCGACTTTTGCATTACAAATTATTTTTTATAAAACATTAATAATAAAATAAAGCACCACCACACGGTTTTGAAGAATCTTTGACGAAAGAGTAAACTGGGTTGTTTTGCTGAGTTGCTAATTTGCTGTATATTCATTTCCTTGTCTTTCTCTCTTTCTATGAATGAATACTGGGATTTCGAAGCGAAAAACAAATAAAGAAATTAGGGCGTGACGAGTCTTAATGGAAGCTGAAAATCAATACTAAATTATGAAGAATCCATTGATCGAGCAAATCACAACTTTAACAGAAAAGGTATCCTGTTTTCAATACCATGTATTCAGCTTCTATGCATTGGCAGACTTCATGCAGGGATCGAATTTTATACATTTTGATGACTCTGTTATATGCATATATTTATCTATGAGCTGCTCAGAATTGACTCAGTTATATTTATATGCATGTATTAGGGTTTTATCGAAATTCTAATATTTTATATTTTTTAGTCTTTATATTAATTTTTTTATATATACAAACGATATACGAGGAGAAAGTGGAATTCCTAAAAGAAAAGACCTAATTTAATTTCTGGCCCCGAACCACCCAGAAATGAGGGTCGGCAATGACTAAAATTGTCACATTTGAATTTAACCTCCACCACTTTCAGAGTGTGAACAAAACTTATTAATTATGGAAAGTTTTGTCAGGTTGTAAGATAATAAAACCGCGTGGAAAATTAGACACACAAAACACCCACAATTAATTAATGAAATCTATTATGACCGCGTGGAAAATTAGACACACGAAACACCCACAATTAATATTACTACAATAAATATTATTAAATATGCGGGAATCGAGTTAGCCGAAACAAAAGGGAGCTTTTGATATTGGCATCAATTATGTGTACTTGCCAACACTTTCTTCACAGGAAGAAGAAAGGAAAGTTCTTCCAAGAACAATAGCTTTCTTCTAGCTTCACCATTTCCGTCTTCTCCCATGTCTCCATACATCATCTCTCCTCTCATTGGTGTTATTTAAATCAAATTGTTTATTGATATAATTACTAAGAGCATCTGATATAATTGTTTATTGAAACTCAAATCGTGCTTCCCGCAAAGTAAAATTTCCACTGCACTTTATGGATATGTTTAACTTCCCACTCAAAAAACTTGCTCCTTGTTGGATATTCTTGATGCAGATGTTAATGTTTCTTTGCGAATTTGAATAAATTTCCTACCTCTTGGCAAATCTAGCCATAGAAAAGGGGTGCTCCTGCATTGTGTTATGAGTCCTGTTGCAATGAAGAGATCATTTTCAAGTGGAAGATTCTTTCCCACTAGGCCTTCAAGAGTTCGGAATACACTACTTCCAGTCTTTTGGTTTTCTTTGGGGGAATATGGATGGATTAAGCTGGCAAATCAAAGATTTTGGTATGGATTAATTAGCTATTACAATTATTTGTTCATGATCCATTAATGAGTGAGTCTTCTCTACGAATTGAGAATTATAGTATACAACTAGTGTATAGAACATCCTTTATAGGTTTTAAAACCAACACATGAAGGTTCTTGTCAAAAGGACATTGTATACACCCGTTGCACATGTGACTATACATGGTACGTTTTAATGATATTTTTCTTAATGTCAAATTTAGAGATTTAAAGTATTGAATTGGGACAAACTGAGCCAACCAAAGAGAGTGGTTGGATTGATCAAGTTTAATGGTGACAGCAGCAGTCATGGGAGAATAGGTGGGTTAGGCGTTGTTAGAGGTTGTTTCATTGTTGTTGGGCATCCGTGATGAGAAAAGAAAAACTGAGAATTAGGTCGTTAGACAGAGGGCTCTTGGTAGCATGTAAAACTAGGAAATCACAGAGAATGTTTTGGCTGAATTGATTCTATCACTACGATGGATGTATATGTCGGAATTTATAGGAGGTGAAGGGTTTAGGACAATAGACAATAGTTGAAACAAAGTGATTTTATTAGATTTGGAGGAGAATAGTACATGGCTTGGTGTAGGCTGATTGGCCTCCTTAGCTTATTGGCTTATTAAAATTCTCACACATTCGTAAATAAATACCAATATCTTCTGAAATCATAGAAATACCTTAATCGATTATGCCAAAACTAGCAAGCCGGCGCAGAGGTGCCATATGTTCAAACGATGTGGAAGTTTCAAGTTAAAAACAAACTAACTAACAATAGTATGGTCAAATCAAACTATATGCACCTGGACTTCCAGTCCCTGGTGTAGATAAGCCAATCCTTGAGCAGAACCAAGCATAACCTGCAGTCTTGTCATCCAAGGCATTGTGGGCAAAGCCCTGTTGAAAAGATGATCTTCTAAGCTTTTATTAGGCATATATTCATATACCAGTGGCCGCTGTATCCCTCTTTGTCCATCTACAGAACAATATCCTAAAAGTTTTACTAGGTTTGGGTGATTTAAGACGCCAATAAATTGAACTTCTGCAAGCCATTCTTTATGACCCTGTTTGAGAAAAGCTAATAACCAAAAGCTTGGCAACCAAAAGAATCGGAACAACATGTAAGAGTCATAAAATGTTGGAAAATGTGTGTATAAAAAGGTCTCTGATTAACCTTAAACATCATTAAAATATTTGCCAATCTCGGAAGGTAATGACAAATATACTACTAGATTCAGCAAAATCTGTGCGTCAATCATATAACTGGTTAAAAGAGTAATAAGATGTAACTTTTAGACAGACCGATATCTTTTAGTTGCTAAACCATTACCTTCAATGAAACAGTGTTCCAATTCTTGTTCTTGAGTGGAAATGAACACATGGGAATTTTTTTCCCTGCATTGCCAGAACCATGTCTCAATGACTTCAATTCATGCTTCACATGAAATTCTGAAAAATTCATCATCAACAACAAGAAGCATGATATTTCTCCAATTCAGTAGATTCCAGATCTATCATGAATGTAAAAGGTGGCCACTAAACAACCTGACCACACACATATGCAGATATTATCAGCTAAGAATATTTACAAATTTTCTGACAAAGTGATGCCAAAATCCTGTGAGATACTTTAGAGAAAATCAGCAATGATACATATAGACAGCCAGGTTATGTGAAACTAAAACAGATATCATTTCCTTTCATGAATTTGGACTAATATTCATTTCGTAACTAAGTGGAAACTGTATTTACAGATTAAAAAATTCAATGTTTGTTGAGAACCAAAGAGTTATGTCCAAGAGGAACACCCAAAAGAGAAGTGGGTGTTCCTCTTGGACACAAGTTCCCCCTCCTACACAGAAACAAAAAGAACCCATTTCATCAAAACAAATTCCAAGTCCAAAGATCCACATAAACCAAAAATTAAACACTACCCAACATGGAAAATAGGTACCTTTAGCACTAGGAACATCTATAACTCGAATTACAATTACTTAAACTGATCACAATTACAGAATAAACAAGACAATAAAAAACGTGCTAGCTCTCCTAAAAAACCATGTACTTATAATCGTTTTGTGGTTCAAAAACCATGTACTTACATCTGATATCAATTAAAGAATGAATTGAATAAACTGGACGGTAACAAACGTGTTCTCCGATAAATCAGAAGGCTCGGCACTTCCCCGAGCTGGTCAGAAACGTGCCCTGGTTAGACGGCAAAGGCAAGTTCTTGATGTCGATAACTTCAATTTTATTTCCCTTGTTTTGAAACTCTTGATAGCCTTGGTGGAGCTTTCGAACACTAGTCTCCAACTTCTCTTCATCATCCCAATCTTGCGGATTATGATGAGGATCTCCCAATCTTGCGGATGATGACGAGGATCAGATTGCTCAGGCCCCTTAGGGTTTTGTTGACAAGAAGATGGAGGCGGTGCGCTTAGCATCAAGCGGAGGGTCTCCAAATCCTTGCCTCTGCCGTGAGATGGTTTCTTGGGCTTCTCCAGAATTGCCAAGTCGCGCTCATCAAGTTTGATGTCGTCGAATAAGTTGGAGGGATCACAAGTCAGGGTTTCAAGGATGAAGACGGCTTCAAGGTCGTCCAGCGGAGGGCAAGCCTGGGGGCTGCTTCATATAAACCTCCTCCTGTAAGATGCCATTCAGAAAGGCATTACGAACATCAAGTTGTTGCAAGGGCCAATTCCTGGAAAGAGCAATAGTTAAGATAGTGCGAATAGTAGCTGGCTTGACAACAGGACTAAATGTTTCATCATAGTCAAGGCCCTCCATTTGATTAAAGCCCTTGGCAACTAAGCGTGCCTTGTGTCTTTCAATAGTGCCATCGGCTTTTCGCTTGACTTTGAAAACCCATTTACAGCCCACGACGTTCATGGTTGGTGTAGGAGGAACGAGGGACCAAGTTTGGTTCTTCATAAGGGCTGTATATTCTTCGTGCATCGCTGCCTGCCAGTGAGGGAATTTAGAGGCTTGAGTATAACTTGTAGGCTCAATTGAGAGAGGATCCGTAAGAGTTGCAGTTAAGGCATGGGGAAGAGGATGGCGTGTGGAGTTGTAGACAAGATTATGAAGGCTGCGGAACCCACGTGGTGGTGGTGTAGTGGCTGGAGTTGTCGGAGATGACTCGATTTCTATTGAAGGAGGGGAAGTGCTTGCAGATTGATGAAGAGGATGGTCGGATGGAGATGAAGACAGAGTAGAGAGCGGAAGAGGTGTTGCTGGTGGTGAGAGCTGGTTGTCCGTAGCAAGGTTAGAAGGAGGTGGAGTAGTTGGGGGAGCTGGAGATAAAGGAACATGAGGAGGCTCCAATAACGTGGGTGCAAGAGGTATTGACCTGGAATCATGAGAGGACTTGGATAGAATATTAGTGTAAGAAAAATCAGATTCATCAAAAGTAACATTCCTTGAAATATACACTCGCCTAGAGATTGGTTCAAAGCACTTGTACCCCTTGTAGTGATTGTCATACCCGAGAAAAATACACTTAATAGACTTGGAGGAAAGTTTATGCTTGTTGTATGGCACTAAGTGTGGAAAACATGTACAACCAAAAGACTTGAGAAACCGGTAGTCAGGTGGGCGTTGGAACAACTTCTCATAGGGTGAAACTTGACCAAGTTGTGTAGTTGGTAACCTGTTGATAAGAAAGACAGCAGTGGAAAAAGCTTCGAGCCAAAAACTCGAAGGTAAGTGTGATTGGGACAA